GAGCAGAAGGCGTCTCAGAGTTTGTAAACTTGCCACGAAGTCACAGACTCTGACCGCCAGCAGGGTCCTCGTGAGTCATGAGTTCCGCCATGGCCAAGAGTGCCAAAATGTAGTTCTTCTCCACACTTTTCCACAGGAACTGGGGGTGCCTCAGCCGTTGGAAAGCTATCTTGTACTCTGTCCACACTCAATAAATGCTGCTTAATAATGACAATGAGAATATGTGTTCCATCTCACTTTTCTCCTGAACACCTCTATTTAGGGAGCCACAAATATTTTTCCCCAAGTCATTTATTCCATTGCCCGATTGGCTGCAGAGTCAAAAAAATTTTCCTACTGTCTCCCTTGAATGTTTCCATTTTCTTTTTGCAGCTCAGCCCATTCCCCCTTGTCTTGTGTGTGGATACTACCCTAAACTATGTTGGTGGTTAGGAAGTCATGCTGGGAGGACATTGCCTCAAATTTCTCGTTTCCAGGTAGTCAAATCCAAGAATATGTTCCTGGATTCTAGGTATAAGCTGAGCTTGATTTGCAACCATTAATTATGAGAAAAAGAAAATTCTCTACTTATTTACTTTTAAATGTTGGAAACTCTGCCAAGGCAGAGGACTGAGGAGCTGCAGAGTTGTGTGGAGTGGCCAGGGGCAGAGGCTGCCCGACTGTGGTTGCAGGATGGCCGCTGTCCCTGCTAATAACTGAGGGATCTGCAGGAATGATTAGCTGAGTTTCCAAAGCCCCTTCTTCCCAGGGTGTGCTCCTCAGAGTCCAACTACAGTGTCATGTGTCAGTGCACATGAGCCCACAGAGATGGGTGTAAGTGTATATAGCCTTGTGTGTGTAAGTACAACACACCAGCAATTTCTGTTTTGGAGAGGCACTAAAATGTCAGTTAGGATCTGTTTTATCTAGTTGCTCCTGTGCTTACTTCCCCAGCATGAGTCCTTCCTCTTGGAGCTGTGAGTGGGATCAGCCTTATGAGATGTCTGAGTTACAAACTGTTCACCTTTGACACGACCCCAAAATCCCTCCCTTCCCAAAGCAACTACCTCACTGCAAGAAATATCTGCTAAAAAAATTTTAGTCTTCTAGTTTTAAGGAGTGATCTCTCAACCTGACGGTCAACCTGACATTAAATTCAGAGATATTCCTATTGATCTGTATTAACTCCTGTGGTAAAGGCTAGGAAGACAGCCCTGAATAAAACAGTCAACCTCCCCTTTTCTGCAGGAAGAAGGCAAACATTAACAGAACAGGGAGCTCATGGAGTCAGCACTCCCGGAGACAAGACAGCCAGATTTTCCTTAAAAAGTGACCCAAGGGCTGAAAACCAAAGGAGAAGTAGGATTTTTCTCAACAACAACATCTTGAGGTCATAATAATAAGTAAAAAACAATGCATTGAATGTGATTAAAGCTTATTTTTTCCATAGCAATTACAACAAATTCGATCTAGTCTGAGTTTGACACCAACCCCTCCCTCCCACCGCCACTACCATGGAGCCAGTGGGATTGTAATTGTAGTTCCCACTGCACAGGCTTTGAGAAGGCCTCAGTGAAATACCCATGGTCACACAGCTACTCAGTAAAAGAATACGAAATAATAAATGAGCCTTCCAATTCCAACTCCAGGAAACTTCTGAGCACAGCCTTCAGAGCAATTGGCTGGGGAGTAGATGTAAGAGGAGAGATTAGCCTAACCTCAGATACCCAACTTCAGCAGTAGAACTCAGTTTTATAAATAAATGCAGGGTTTAAAAAAAAAAAAAAAGCAATACAATGGAAAGACTTCAGAGACATATCCAAGCTCAAATCCCAGCTCTGCCAGTGATTAGCTCTAACCTTGGGCAAATAATTCAACCCAACTATAATATGTGACTCCTTCCAAGCCAGCAGGAAGATTAAATGAGCTACTAGAAGACATATAACCAGTCCCTGACACCTTACATGTTCTAATAAATATGTCTTCTTTTTCCTGTAACCCAAGAAAAGAAGTAAAGCAAAAATGTCGCTTCACAAGAGAGGCACTAGAAAAAACACTCCAAATGGCCAACCGGCTGTGGAGCCCTCACGACCAAGAGGGAGGTGCAAATATTAATAACACTGGGAGGCAGGAGGGCACCCATGGATGATGCCTGAATCCCCCTGATTTAGCTCCAAGACATAGGGAGAGTCATTCACACTACAGCAGAAGGAAACCTAGATAGGATGTGTTCTAGAGGAAACAGGAGCCAAAAAATAAGGAAGAGAAATTGGGCAACTAGATGAAATACTTGGATGTAGGACCCTCTTCTGTGCTCTTCCTTGATACCTTGGCTCTGTTTGCACCTCATATGCCCTGTGACCTATGTATGTGACTGCCATGATTGTCCTTTTTGACAGATAAAAAGATTAAAGGCAGATTTAGGTCCCTCCCAGAGGACACGTTTATCTCAACATGAAGTGCATTTCTGGTCCAATTTCTGCTTCCAGGTTGCTCTGCTCCATACACTTTTTGGCTCCAACTTTAACTTGTGCTACTTTGTAATAATTTGTGTTCTTTTATAAGACTCCTGAAATCTCTTTATGAAAAGATAGGTATAAGTGAAGAAACGCAAGGCAAATAAGTAAACATTAGATTTAAAAAGTTGTTTTTAACATTCCCACTCGCCAGCCCTCAGGCTGTTTCTAAATTCAGCTTCTGAAGCTCTAAACATCTACTATTGTTCAGGGCTGTTATGGCATTCCAAGCAAAGTTTCCTTTAAATAAGAAAATCCTATAAAAATGCCCAAGTTAAAACCAACAAACAAGATCTTGTCCTTAGATTGTCACCGCTGCCCTGTGTTGGGCCTTCACTGTGGCGAGGCGTGGGTCATTCTTAGCTGCTTTACTTCAGAATCACCCCCAGCCCCATTCTTCTGGGGCCACCTCTTCCATGAAGGCTGGAAAAACAAAAAGCACATTTTCCCAGCTTTCTCTGTAGGTAGCAAGCCCATGAGACCCATCGTTTCCTGATAAAAGTACAGAAAGTGCCAGCAATTTTCTTTTTCTCCTGACTTGGACACAGATGAGATGGCTAGAGCTGGAGCAGTCACCTTTTGACACTGAGGCAATAAGCCATCATGCTGAGAATGGCAGAGCAAAAAGATGAAAAGAGTAGCTTTTGGACTGTCTGCCTCCAAGTGTATTGTTAACTGAGACATATAAGCCTCTGCTTGACTAAGTTAGTATTAGTCAAGTTTCTATTCCTTGAAGCTAAAAGGCTTCTCAACTAAGACATATGTAAATATAGAGATTAGGTATAGACACAGATGTAGACATAGATATAGATATATAGTTATCAATAGATAGATTTATGCCTAGAAAATCATTCTTTTTCAATGCAGGCATGTATAAGAAAATATAGCTTAATTGCTCTACACAGAATGAATCTATCGACTAAATTGTCGTCTGAACCCAAATATACATGCATAGTGTCTCCAGGTTATTTTCTTTAACATGCTGTACAAAATAGCACATCTAAATCCACAGCAATAATAGGGAGACAGACACAACAAACTCCATGCCAACTCATTTTCCCTGAAGATACAATTTAACTACATGTGAATAATGATCCCTAAATCTAGAAAGAATCTTGAGTAAGATGAGGTTAAAGTATGAGAACAAGGGAGAACCTCAGATTACTCTAAGAATAAATAGCTTTCAATCCCAAAGCAACTCTATTTCAAACAAGAAAATTAGAAATGTGTTCTTATTTTTATCACTGCCATTCTCAAAGCCCAATAGATTGATGATGCAAACAACTTGGAAGACTTTTTTTATCCAAACAACTCCTGGTTAAGCCAGACTGGCTGACCCACATGTCCATCAGTTGCTCCATCCCCTTCTCTCTATTTGTTCCCTTGATGTGGGGGGAGGTGCTTTCTCCTGCTCACACTGTCCTGGCACTGAATTTCTGGATCCATTTCCCAACTGACATCTGCCTCTGCCCTGCTCCTCTGACTGTTGAGAACATCCTGATTCACCTTCTGGTATTTTGGACCTCAGCTCTCTTCTAATTTATGAGCTCAGTTACTCTTCCAGTGTGACAGTCTCCTAGAACAAATTGCAGTCCCAGCTCAGCTGGACTGAGATAAGGAGGAACTCTAGCCCAACTCCAGAAGAAAAGCTTAATTTCCCCTCCATCCCCAGTAACAGGATTTCAGACAAAGACAATGAAGCCAGAGGTGAAAGGGTAAAGAATACAAGCCACATGACTTTGCCCTGGTCATAAATTACCTGTTTTCATCTGTGGAACCATCCTCGTGGAGGGAAGGGAAGACAACGTACCATGCTGAACACAGGCGAGACCATCGTGAATTGAAGAGGTTTCCTGAAATGGAAAGATGAGGACATATATGGTAAAGGGAGGCTTCTGGGTCTTTTCTGAAGGAAATTATCGAACCACAGGGACAGAAAAAAACTGGTTATATGAAGTTGACCTTTTGATCATGATGAGTTTTAGAAGCAACCCTATGTTCCTCTCCTCTTCTATGCCATCGCCACTTAGTGAGGCTCTAGCAGTGATGATAGATCAACTCTCCCCATAAGTGATATCATGGAATGTCATTAGTTACAGGGATTAGGATTCAATAAAATTAAAGCAGGCTTAGGAGATCGTGTTTGAGGAATTTAATATGTGGGGCCTCGTATGCGCTCCTAAGTACTTTGACCAAACTGAAAATATGTTCTAAAGAGGACAGTTTCCAAACTGTGCAGCAAAGAGGGCAGCGTCTACCTGATGGAACTGTGTTAGTTAGATAGAAATACTGGTCATTAGGGGTATGAATGAATAAATCTGTGTATACGTTTCCATGCAAATAGAGATTGGGAAGGAGCCATAGTCACCTGCCACCACCCTTTCCTCACTGTACCCTGATTTTGTTCATGTTCACCTTGTATGGCAGGGCAGTCTGGAACTCTTTGCTGCCACAGGGGGAGAATGTTGATTGATCCAGGCTAACTATGGTAATTCTGTATCCTAGACCAGTGGTTCACCCAGGAATGGATACTTTGCACAATTTTGGCCAGTGAGGTGAAGTCTGGAACTTCTGGAGTAGTGTTTCCAGCCCTTAAGAAAATGGAAATAAGAAAAATACAATTTTTCTGTCTCTAAATGTCACCGTGTGAGGATATGATACTGGGAGCAGCCATCTTGTGATCTTGAAGCAAAGATGGTTGACATCATTGAGCTCCTGACTGAACTTTCCTGGAATTCCCTGGTGCCTAGACTTCCTGTCGGGTAAGACCAGATGCACCTTTATTTATTAAGCCACTTTTAGCTAGGTTTTTTGTTACTGTTGTTGCTTGCAGCAAAATGCATCCTAGGTGATACAAAAATCATACCTACAGGCACAGAGTCTACAGATTATTTGCTTTGGGTGAAGAAGGAGTAACTGAGACTCGGAGGGAAGAAACACTTGCCCAAATTATAGAAGGCAGACTTTCTGGCTGCACTACTGTGTGTCTGTCACTCTACCACACTGTTGTATAGGGAACTGCTTGTTCATGTTAAGGCCATCAGCATTCACTCTCATTTGAATGATTTTCTTATAATGATTAAGGATGCCATTTTAAGTAAAATATTTAGCTTGCCCAACCAGGTAATGGGAGATCTTTAGCCACAAGGTTAGAAACTAGACTCAACCTTGTAATTTATTGCTTACAACTATAAGCCAAGCCACTGTCAGAGAGCTGAGAAAAAGAATAAACAATGAGACAGCGGCAGCCTGGTCTTTCAACGATAGATGGCAAGGCTAGATATGGCCAACGATGACACCAACCCATAAATATTCTATATTTAACCTACAGTTTTAAAGTACTTTGATTGTCATTATTGATGTGTGGACACCCTCAGGGTCTTAAATTCTAAATCCCTTATCTTGTACTGCCATGTTATTAGGAAAAAGGGAAAGTGCTTTAAAAAAAAGAAAAAAAAAAAACAACCCTCCATTTTGCATAGCTTCTTAGACTTTGACCTCGCTGGTATTTGCATTCTGAGTGTAACAGAGTTGATGCATCTCTAATATGACAGGAGAATCCCAGCACTGAGCTATTCCTGAGGAGAAGAGACTCAGTTTCTGAGTGCAAGGAGGACTGTGTGTCTAGTCAGGGTGAGGTGCAGATAAAGGGAGTTCTTAAATCAAAATATTTCAGAGTCTTGCAACTAGTTATTTTAAAAATCTGTTATCAATAAGTCATAACATACTCTTTATAATGCCAGGGCTACCATCCTTGCCAAAAAGACTTTTCTGGAGACAGTTTTCTCTCCCCTGTAGCATCCTGAACTCTACTGAAGAGGCGAATTCATGTTGATGGATCACCATTATTGAAGGATGCTGGCATGATTCCCATGTGCTCCCCACAAAGAAACATTACTCCAACGTAAAAAATAAATTCAAACTGAAACGTCCTCTGTGTCTGGAAAAGCTGCCATGTTTGGATCACAACAGCCCCATCATGGCAAAGACGTCAGCAGTAGAATCATTTGACCCCAGGGCCTAGTTCCTCTAGGAGGACAGCAATGTTACCACTGTTCATATCTTCCACCGTCACTCTGCCACATGGAACCAAAGCCACACAGAGTTAATATTGGAAGATAGTCTTCCCTCAAGCAGTGATAATACTTGCATATTCTTAACTCTCTAAAACATAAGGTCTTCTTGAAACTTTCCTGAGAACTTCTTATGGACTGTGCAGTGGCAACAACCTCAGTATTAACCATCTCATTCATTGGTTGTACATATTTCAGAGGGTGGCCTCTCTAGTTCCAATGTCATTTCTGTCTTATTAACTCTTTCTTAGATGTTTTCCATTGAAAGATATTTGTCCAGTAGCCCACAGGATTATTTTCCAGTTTATTGAAAACGCTTATCGAAGAAGTCCAGATGGGAATGAAAATAGAACTTGAGGATCAGGTGTCTGTGGCAGATTTGGCATTTTGAAAGCCCAATTCACTTCTTAGACAAGAGAATTTCCTTTCCGCTTTTAGTTGTGCGCTGAGTGAAAATCAAAGAAGTGTGTCTGGGGAGGCATGTCCTCATTTAGACACTTATAAGATCTCATCTCATTTTAGTAAAATTTACATGCATGACTAGTAATTAAGTTTTATTAAATTAGATGTTCTCTTTTTCATTTAAAGATGAGTTTTAATTATATAAAACAACAATTGCTGTAAAAATGATTGCATGCATTTATTTGAGCTTTGAGTGCCCTCTACTGGAACAAGAGAAAAAGTAAAAAATCAATACTACCTTGATCCTGCACGGTTCTGTCGTAAGTACTAAGATATTATTATTAGGAAAACAAAAATAACAGTAAGAACTCAACGTATCTCACTCACAGTGATTTAATAGTAATAAAATATTTTTCTAAAAATTACTTTAAAGCAGACCTAACGTGCGCATTTTGTGGGTTTTACATTTATGGAAAGTCCTGGGTGATACTGACAAGAAGCATCTCTTTAGCTGGTTGGGCTGCTCTCTTATTTCCAATGACTGCTTGTCTCCATGTTATGAGTTTTGGGTTTATAGCCATAGCCTCTGGAACAAGGCTGGACTCTGGATTCGTATTTTTTTTTTTCTAAGCCTTTTCCTTCCAAAACCACGGGTGATTGCAACTTTGATTTGGATGAGGAACTTCACTTCCCAACTTCAGTCATTTGATCCCCTCTGCTCTGACCACTTTCCCCCTTCTCTGCTGTAACTTCATTTGCAGCCATCCCTTGGCCTCTCCGCTCCACCTCTCACTTCCCGTATTCTGCTGTGACCTTCCCTGTGTGGACCGCCAGGTTCCCTCTTTCCATTGTCACCGCCATGTCTTCATACCTGCTCTGCTCACTGTCAATGTGCCCAAGTCTAATCGCCTTCCCTTATCTCTGTTGAATCGGACTCTCAGTCCCTTCTTATTTCGATGTATTTCCTAACTTGTCTGGACTTCATGGTTTATTATTTCCGCCACACTGTCATCAACACACTCATTTCCACCAACCCTTTGATCTTCTGCTGTATAAGCCTTGCAAATAGTCTGTTCTATAACAGCCTAGTGATTCATTCTGACCGACTCTGATTTCTAAGCTGTGAAGCACTGCTGAAGGAAGTCATTTTGCTTTGCTCACTGGGAAATGACAAATTCTATGGCCTTCAGGTGAGACCTCGGGAACACTCAAGAATTTTTTTTTTTTTTTTTTTTTTTTCTGCTGTTTGCTTGTCTTTCAAATCCCTCAAGGATTATTCAAACCTTGACTACTTTCTTCATTCTTAAGACTTGCTTTGCTTCTCAAGTTTTGGGGAAACAATGGAGACTACTGCATCCTTAACTCACTTACCCTGAACTTTCAAATGTGTCCTTTTTTTCTTCAACTTTCATTTTAAGTTCTGGGGTACATGTGCAGGATGTGCAGGTTTGTTACCTAGGTAAATGTGTGTCATGGTAGTTTGCTGCACAGACCAACCCAATCACCTAGGTATTAGCCAAATGTGTCTTTATCTCTATTTATTCTTCCTTTCTGTCACAGGAGATTAGTCTCTTCCCCATTTGCTTTTGATTCTATTCCTTCCTAGCCCTTCTTGGATTTTGTTCCAACAGTTTGTTCAATTTTTCTCTCTCTTCCCAGGTAATTCTCTCTTGAATTCAGAGTATAAACATTCCAGATTCTCCTGGAATGCCCCAGAAAAGGTTGTCCCTCTCCCAGTCTTGATCTCCCACAAACTACTGCTCCACATTTTCCTTGTTTCACTGTGAAGCTTTTAGAAAGAGTAGTCTGCACTCCTTGCTGCTGCTTCTTGTCAACCACTTCAGCTTCCACACAACCCAGTTTGGGTTTATTTTTCTATCACTAATCAGAAACAGCTCCCAATAAAGGTATCTAGAGAGGTCTTGGTACCATCAGATTCCCAGGATTATCTGCTGTGTTGCTCAGCCATCCTTAGCTGATGCTCCACAACCCAGGAGAGCTACTTACGCTCCAATTCATTGTTGTGGGAGCAGGAAAAAGAAAATGACAAGGAAAAGGATATCCCTTCTCTTGAAGGACATGTACCAGAAGGTACATGTTGCATCTCATTGGCTTGAATGTAGTCACATGTCTAACCTAGGTGCAAGGGGAATCCTTATTCTAGTTGGCCATCTGTGTAGCCAAAAATTGGAGGTTCCATTTCTAAGGAGAAAACTGAGAGTTGGGTATTTGAAATTTTATATACTAAATGCTAACCAAAAATCCAAAGAAACTAATGAGACTGAAGTTTTCAAAATGCATATTTTGGTATAACTTTAAGGAATTTTGATGTGATATTTTGTGCAATAACTGTTGTTGGAAAATTATTGATGTTTCATACACTAATATATGCTAAATATTTTATGAACATGTAAAGAGAAGATATACTTTCATTTTTAAGTCAAAAGTAAATAAACACATACTAATTTATCATTATATTAATATTTATTTTATGTGCCTACACTTAAAAAAGTAATTTTCTTTAACAGACACAGTGTTAATAACTACAACACTCTTACATTTCCCTAAATGTTTTCCTATATTTGCAGATAATTTTTGTATAAAACAAAAGTGATTTTTCCTTCAGTTCACAATGACTCTTGAGAATATCAATATTAAGGCTTTTCTTTAATATTTTATAGTGATTTGCAAGTTACATATATTTTTTATTCCACTTGAATCTCTTTCAGAGTATCAAGCCACACATCTAAATCTCCATGTCTCTAATTCTCAAGAACTTTTAAGTCTGACAATATTTGTAGTAAAGAATTTGGTACGTTTTTACTTCATCTATTCTCTACTTGTTTTACTTCTTACTTGCATTAATTGACCTGGGATATTAGATCCATTTTTAAATTACATGACTAATTGTGTAATATGCCATTGTTTTTTAAAGAACCATAGTGACTTGTGCATTTATGTTTCTAATTAATATTTATAAGCAGTGTACCTCACTCTATATAGTTAATGGTTTTAATATTTAATGTAGATCTTTTTTATTCTTAAGTTGTTTTGTTTTACATTTTCGTCTCCATCAGTTGAAGTACACCTTTACTTTGTTTTATTTTAGTAAATATATTGAAGAGTTCCATTTTTCTGACTACTTGCATTGTGAGAATTGTTTTTGTTGCTTAACACATAATACTACTTAATTGGGGTATAAGATTCTTATAATACATCCCAGATACATTACTTAGAAAACTAAAAGGAGTCAACTGGAATATTATTAGAACCAAGGCGGAAGTTTCACCATGTGGTTGGTTCTGATATAAGTGTACATCTGTGGCCTTTCCTGAACCACAGAAACTGTTTGTTGAGAAATGTTAAATGGCGACACTATAGATATGAAGTATTTTTTATTCTTTTTTTCTTAATTTTTCCCCCAAACTTTGCCCTCAACCATGGTAGAGTGAATTTCCCATCTGTATCTTTCAATAACATCTTGAGCAAATTCTACAATGTTTTCTGTATTAACATGTATCTAGATTAAAGATTCAATCATAAACTTGATTTAAATGACTTCTTTCTTCCCAACACAGGTCTGATCCATGGCGCAAAGGATCTGAAGTGTGAAGTAAGACCTGGTTAGCTCTTTTAATTACACTCTTCCTTCTGCTCTATGTATAGCTTTTTAGGCTTGGAGCCAGCTATGCTAAAACTGCAGAAGGTGGTTCCAGGCTTAAGGGACTAGCAGACAAAAAATGTTCTGATGAGGTGAAAAGTTTGGTGTGGTTCTAGAAACTGTTAAAAGCCAAATAAACTTGAGGTTAGTTTTATAAGAGTTCAAAGGCATGAGATGTGTTTGAAAAGTTAGGTAGGAACCAGATCATGAAGAGTTTTGAAAGCCATAGAGAGACTTGAGATTTTATTCCAACCACAATGGAAAGCCACTGGAAACTTTTGAACAACGGAGTTACTTGTAATCTAATTTATATCTTTAAAAGGCATCTCTGGCCATTGTGAGGAGGAGAATGGTCTGTGAGGGGCAGGAGTATGAAGGAAGACTAGTTAGAGAAGGATAGCGAAGGTCCAGGCAGGAGATGCCAGTGGCCTGGATGAGAGTGGTGTCAAAAAAGATGATGATGCATAAAATTTGAAGATCCAGACAACAGAATTTGCTGATAGATTAGACACTGCTTGGGAGAGAGAGAGAACTGAATGACTCCAGATATTTGACCTGAGCAACTTGGTGAACAGTGGTGCCTTTAACAGAGAGGGGATGTATTAGAGGAAGAAGAGCCAATATGATTAAAACAAAGACTCCAGGTTTGGTTTTAGACACGCTTGCCTGAGATTTTTGCTACATCAAAGTGGAAATGTTAGGTAACTAGTTATGCATGTGAATCTGGAGCTCTGGCTAGAGACATAAATGCAGAGCCATCAGCGTATACATGTGGGGATATGCGGCCTATAAAGCCGTGGGAACAAAAGCAATCACCAAGCAAGTGAGTGAATACATAGAAAAAAAGGGATCCAAAGGCTAAGCCTAGTGAGACGCCAATCTTTGGAGGTTGAGAAGATGAGGGGGAAGGAGCAACGGAGACTGACAGGGAAAGACCAGTACAATTGAAGCAGAACTAGTGTGGTGCCCTGGGAGCCAGATTTAGAAACACTTTATAAAGTGTTTAGAAAGTTTAGAAATACTCTAAAAAGTGTTTCAAGAATTGTGTCAATCTCTTCTTTAGCTCCTGTAATTTTTTGGCTTTATCTCAAATGGGCAGATTATTGGCAAGTGCAAAAAAAAAAAAAAAAAAAAAAATGTTTTTCTCTGTTTCAATACCAAGACTAGTTTTAGAGGTAGGCTTTTCTTTTGTATTTTCTGACAGATACTGCCTTTTCCTTGTGTGATTAGTTTTCTCAAGATGCCACATGGACATGCTTCCCCTTCGCACATACAATGCAGCCGCATCATATGCACATGTGACTCACGTGATTCCAACTCTATGCACTTGAGTAAAAGAACATGACAATGTCGTAGGTGATACCACCTGCCACTCAATGCATATGCCCAAGAATAGAGAAATAGATGAGAACCTGATGTTCTTCTGGGGTTATGCCCACAAAACAATACTTTCTGAACCTATGGATGGATTGTGAGATTTTTAAAGATATTTTAATTGTACATAACATTTGCCTTATATGCTGAATCTAGTCTTATGTTAGATATTATTCCACCCTACCTAAGCTGGAATGTGGTGCAAGCTGCCCAGTTTTAAGTTTGTCCACACAAAGGATATGTGGAATGTTCTTAACTCTGGTCCACTTGGGTCCTGGCAGGTCACTCTCATATCTGTTTACTCATTATCCAGCACTTGGGCATCTTCTGGGATCTGTATGACTGAGGTGGGGTTTTCTTCTTCCAACCCTCAATTTCCTTGCCACATTAGATTTCATGAGCTTTCTCTTGGTCCTTTACATATTCAGAACATCTATGTTGGTGGTTACTGTCTCATACACAAAACTATTTTATAGGAGTTCTGTCTTCTTCCTCAACAACAGTATTTGTATTGAAATGACCACTTAGTCCAAGACAGTACTGTTAGTGGATCTAGTGGATCTTTTTGATTAGTTAGTTTGTTGTATTTTTATTTTTATTTTTTTGAAAACTGACATCAAACAGCTCTAGTTATTTCTAGTTTTAGCAGCAAAACAAATAATGCTTTTTGGGGAAAAAATACTTAGCCGTTTAAATATGTAATATGAGGTGAGCACACCATGATCTTCTTGTGAACATAGCAAGTTGCTGAGGCACAATTTTCCCAGGTGGATAAAGCTGGGCACTGCCTCTCTCCTCTGCATCTATTTGTAGCAACAGATTTCTATTAAGGGTCAAATAGCCATCTAGAAGGAAAGAAATGAAAGCTTTGAGGTTCTGGGTTATTAGAGGATATCTGATATCATGGCATTGTTCTGGATGAGGCCAACAGATGAGACAAGGGGCTCCCAGGCGAGTTGGATTTAGGCTTAACGCCAGGGTCTTATTGTTGGTAGGGTGAGCTCTTTCTGGCAAAGCAGTTTCTGTAACCTCCCCCATCCCCCGAACCAGTGTCCAGGCACCATGATAAGCCCTGGAGAAAATGTCTGTGTCTGAGTATAAAGTGATAGAATTGTATCTTGGAATTTGGGCTGGGTGTGGTGTGAAGCACCCATAGATGAGAATAAACCTGAATGGAAAAGCAGTTTCTTCCTCACCCTGGATTCAGAAGTAAGGCCAGGTGCTCTTCAGTGCCTTGGAGCTTGCAGCCTTGCCCTAGAATATTCGCCTGCTGACCACACCAGGCAGTGGCAAAAGCAGTAGAGAAAGCACTCCCTCAGGGGAAGTGGCCAGACTTCCCAGTTTCCTCCTCTGCAAAGGGTTATTAATCACTACGGGTCCCCTTCCACTTAGAATGCATTTGAAGCACCTGCAGAGGGAGAGCCTTCTCGCAATCAGTGGAACAAAGGCTTTGAGTCAATAGGATTTGGACACCAGAAGAAAGGAGACATTATTTTGCACCACATGCTGGTGAAGTGGGTCTTATCTTCACTGGAATTTTTTTGTAAAATTTGGAGACTGCCCATCAAGAAAGCTTCCTTGTGAACCCAAAGGTAGTGATATTTTCCTTAACAATGAGGGGGTAGAACTTATGGGAAGCAGAATGCAATTAAAACTCATATCCGATATTCTACTGCTCAACTGATGTCTTATTAAAAATGTGTGCTTGTGGCCAAGGAAGTAGGAGGTGCGCTCTCAGCTGTCAGGCAGAGAAGAGAGAGCCGTGCCCTGGATCCATGTTTAAAGGCCTGCACACTCAGATCCCCAGTCCATGAGGAGGGAGCCGTTTACATCCTCTTCCCACATGACAATCAAAATCACACCACAGACTTCATTTTTCTCACTTCTCCTACACAAGGGCTCATGGTTGGGCATAAGATAATGAGGACAGGCTCTGTCACCCACAGTGTGGCAAGATAAGATGTAGCATAGTCAGAAGAAATTATTTTAGGGCCCCCTCCCCCAGAATTTTCACTGGTGACTCAATTCATCCTTTATGTGGCTAAATGGGTGATATCAGATATAGGATCCTCAGATGCCCTGAGTTTTAATTCTGGCTCTACCACTGACTTCATTTCTGTAATAGGTATACTATCAAATGTCTCCATGCCTCTGTCTCCTTGAAGGGAACACTCACTTCACCAAATTATAAGGAACGCCAAATTATTGTGAAGTCCTCTGTCAAGTCTAGTTGAGATTTGTATCATTCTTCAACCTGTCCAGCATCAGCCCCTCTGGTGTTTTAGGAACTGTGGCTCTCCATCAGTTAAGAATTACCAAGACATAATTGCAGGAATGTTTTAAAATATTACTCATTTTTAGTAGCATTTCAGTAGCATTTATAATTACGGCTGCTAAATCTTTCTTGGCATTCATTGTGTTAAACCTCGACGGCTCTACCAAGTAATGGGTTTTGGAGTTGGCCAGTAAAACTCATCCAATATCTCATAAGTTCTCACTGTATTTAATTCTGTCCTCAGGAAGACAGAATGATTAATCTTGAAGACATCAATTGTATGTTTCACATAGGAACTGAAAAATGCTTAGTGACAATGAAGATAATAGAAAATCTAAGTCACAAAAGAATGAACAGTGGGCTAATGGCATTCAACTACAGGAGAAGAAGAAGGAGAGAACAAGAAGAAGAGGAGGAGAAAAAGGAGGGGAAAGAAGAGGAGGGGGAGGAGGGAAGGGGAGGGAGAGGAAGAACTAAGGAACACACAGGAACTAAGCAGTTACTCTGTGGACCAACAGTAAATTCGAAGGTCGAATACAGAATATTTTCCTTCTCCTTGTGCCTCTATTTGCTTATCTGGTAAACAGGGATAATAGCTCAAATCACCTGCACTTAGCAGAGATTTATATCTTTGCAGAATTTATAACTATTGTTAGTATTCACTCACTAACTACAATGCTGTAAGTGCTCATTAGGCGTGTATATATATACACATAGCTTTCCAGAAAAATAAAATGCCTTCATTTCTTCCTAAATGATTCAACCTATAGAATACATCTTTTTTTGGGTTATATTTTGTTTGTCTACAGTGAAGTTAGAAATGTTTATGAATTACAGTAATGTCAGAATTTTTAAAAACAGAAACCTCTTTATCGTAGTATTTACATATAGGATTATTAACTCCAATAACTTCATGAAGAATTGGTACATAAAGATTTATGAGTTAAATATTAAAATTCCATGCAGTCACTAAATATTCCCAAAGAAATGGAAATATCTGGGAAGTATACAACCATGTTTTTTGGCCTTTTTTTGAATATAAAAGAGGTGGTTTAAATGACCATTAAATTACATTCCCAGAGAGTTTGTGTACAAATCAAATGATAACAGATTATACATTGACTGGTGCAAATTGCTTCCTAAAGTGAATATTAATATAGGGTCACAATTCTTGAACCATAAACCATGTGGGCCATACTTCGGGATTTGTTGTACTTTTTTGAATGGTAATGTGAGCACAAACTTTGCATTGTGTAACACCCCCATCAGGAGTTGGGGGAAGCATTCAAACACATTAAATTTTCTTCAGTAAAATGTGAAAATATTCACACTAAGTGAGATAAACACTGTTAAATTAGTTCACATAATTTGATTACTTAAATCAAATAATTTTTTAAAAAGTTTGCAGACTTGTATTTTCTTTCTCAGATTTGTGGATGATTGTGCACCTGTATTCTTTAAAGTGTTTGGGATGCTCTGCAGTCACCTGTGGGGAAGTCTTTGAAAATGTAATGGACACCTGTGGGAGGATATAATATCAAATATAAATAATAGCTGTGGGCTCACATTTTCAGGAATTCACCAAATATGTAAGTCAATGATATTTTTGTCTTGGTTCCCAGGTTTGAAAGTAATTAAATTTCCAATACTACCTAGCTAGTGTAGTAGGTAAGGAGAAAAGAAAGTTGAGGATGGTACTTCAGACACAGGGACAAGGAATCCACAACAGAGAGTGAAAAGAACCTGCTAGAAAGATGGGGGGATAAATCACCTGAGTATGCATCAGTCTGAGCAAATAATCTTTTTTTTTTTTTTTTTTTTTTTTTTTTTGGTAATATAAGAAATTCCATAATGGCCAGGTTTACAAAGACATGACACATGCTGAGAACTCAAGCATCCATCCACTGACGATGTTTGGTAGTCCAGTCTGCAGCAGGGCCAGCTGCAGAGCTCATGCCTCGGCCCTTGGAAAGGACTCTGTGCTGAGAAGGACCCACTTTTGGTTTAATGCTCTGTGGTCACTGACTTTATGTTCATAATCATAGCTAAAGAAGGGCCCTCACATTTGCATTTTGCACTGGGCCCTGCAAATTATGTAGTGGGTTGTGTCCATAGGCAAGTCTGTGTGTGCTAGAAGTGAGAAGACAACCTGCTGCCTAAGCATGGGAGAAGCTCACTGACCACATGGCCAGGGAAGCCTTCACTGTGGCTCCTCTCAGGTCTGCTCCAGGCATATGAACACTTGCAGAGAGAGGAATGATGTGAAACCAGCTCAGTTGTCTCATAGAACTGATATTTGCAGGGTTTTTTTGATAAACATAGAAGTTGACCCTCCCTGGTCTTAAAACGTGAAACTTATATTTGTCTCATCTGAGTTTCTTCCTCAGGAAACTGACCCTAAAGTAAGGGTACTGAAAGCCACCAGATCACTGCATCCAGGCCTCTTATTTTTTATGATTGCTCTCTTGCCCTTCTCTAACTCCTGTTTTCCTGCCTTGCCCATCATATAAAGCCCACCAATTTTTGTCAGTCAAGGAAATGGATTTGACACTTTTCTGCTGCAGCACCCAATTAAAGCCTTTTTCCCTGGCAATACTTGTGGTCTCAGTGATTGGCTTTTTGTGTGTGGGCATCAGGACCTAGACTGAACCCCAGGTTTTTTAGTAACAGATCCACGATGCACTTTCTCTCCTTAAGAAGAGGAAGAATTTCCTTCATATAACCTCCCTCTAAACAACAGCATTGGGCAGAATGCACAGTTCCCTTTGACAGGAGGAGTGATGAGGATCTTTGCCACAGCCCTAACCTTCTGCTTATGTAGCATAAGGTGGGAAGTCTGAAGGCATCATCTCCTCAAAGTTAACCTAAGCAGAAAGTAATAAGTCTTCACATTTGTTTTGCATTCTGCAATGTACAAAGGAGGTTTACAACCATTATTAGATTTTATTGATTCACTCATGAAACACACACATGCAAGCATACATACACCCCACCTACACACACCCACACATACATACACATCCCCCACACATGCACACAATTTTATTCTGCAGCAAGCACAAGCCACAGAACTGGATCCTCTCCCATTGTAATAAGGGAACCTTTCATACCTCTTTCTTACTTGTCACCGTCTGTTTTCCTCTTTTCTCTCATGGGTGACTCATGAACACTATTGTCCCCCAGGTCTCCACTCCCTTCCCTTCAGTTCTTACCCCAGGCCAACTCTGTCACTGCCATCCCACTGACAAAGTTCTCCAGCACTCATTAGTGCTCTAAGGAAAACTTGGCCTCTCACTCCTCAAGGCCAAAGTTCTGCCAGAGAGATCCCTGATTTCCAGAGCACATCTTCCCTAAAACCTAAGTTGAGTGTGACACTGACTACTAGCCCTTCATTCAGGGCAGGCTCTCCCTCTTTGGTTTATAGAACACAGTTCCTTTCCTGGCTTCCTCTTATGCCCCTGGCACTGCCCTTCAGTCTCCTTTGGAGATTCTTCTTTCTCCCACAGTGATTGGGGCTCCCCTAGGATTTCCTCTTTGACTTTTTTCACTCTGCATTCTTTCTAGGAAACCAGTTCAATACTTCCCTGTGATTTCAAAGGTCATTTATCCAAATATAGATCTGAAGATCTGTATTTGTTCTGACTAGCCATGTGATGTGGGACACGAGACGTAATCTGTTAAGCCTCAGTTTTCACATCCATCAAATGGGAAAAATAATCATCCCTACCTGATACAGTTATCACAAAGCTTCCTTTATTTATTCACCAAAAGTTTTGAATACTTCATATATGCCATTCAGGGATAACAAGACATATTAAAAATCCTCGTCATTGTAGCACTTCTATTAATGGTGTGGGGCAGACATTGAACTAATGAGCCAATGAATTATTTAATACATAACAGTGATAGGAGCTATGAAGAATAAAGCAGGGCAAGAATGAATGACCTGATAAATGCAAAGCAATTAGCACAGAAGCTGACATAAATTAAATGCTCAGTAAATCCTATCATAGTCCTCCCCATCACCTGCTGTGAGGGTCTTTAGTCTGTTTCTAGCCTAGAGGTCTCTCTTGATGTCCATAGAAACTCAAGTTTAGTACATCTAAAGCTATTTTTTTTATTCCCCACTTTGATCAATAGCACCAAAGTCTCAGTTGACCATCAGTTTTACCACCCTAATATCCATTTTAGATCTGCTCCTCCCCTCCAACCCTGTTACCCTGACCTGATTCAGGTCTTCAACTTTTTTGACCTGATCTACTGTGAGAATTATCTGTGTTCCCCTTCTTTAGACTGTTCTCTACTCAATCCTCCACCCAACTGCTGGGATGGCATATTGGTACCCTGCTTAAAAGTATACAATGACTTGCTATCATCCTCCATGGGCGTAGCTCAAGTTTTTTAGCCCAACCCCACTACTCCCCACCCCTCCCATTTTGACCCTCTAGACTAGGACACTGAAGTGTATGAAGCTCTTCCTGCTCATTCAGCTGTTTTGTCTCTTCACCTGTGTCCCTCCGCAACACACTGCCTTTCACCCTTTTTTCTCCCTGCAATGCCTTCCACATACCTTTTGACCTGGCTAACTATTGCTCACCACCCAAGACTCAGGGCCAACATCACCTCCTTTAAGCATTTCCCTGGTTTCCCCCTTACCCCTACCTTATTCCAACTGTTACTGAGTTGTGTATCTCCCATAAGTGTCCCGCACACTCTGCTCAAATCTCTGTCTCTTTCACTAAAATCACCAAGTTTCTTTGGATTTTACTTTTGTGCCTGTTTTTACCAGATTCTTATGGAAAGAAAGGATGAGTTTTACTTGTTTTCTTTGGGTTCTTTCAGGAGGACTCCCACCCTCATTTTCCCCACAGGCTGTGTGCTCGTGTGTCCTCCATAGCCCGTAATTGTCTATCGTGAATTTGCCAAAGTCTGGATTTGTCAGTCTTAAAAAATACCATGTGGGAAATACCAAACGGCCAGTCTAAGTTGGAATGTATAAAAAACTTGCCTCTAACCCTTCAAGGCCATAGTTCAGCCAGGGTAACAGCCATGGAGATACCCAATTTACATGATTAAACAGACCACTTAGCATCTCATGTTACGGCATCTGCATTTGTATTTATAATGCCTTTACATTTTTATCCAAGAATCATGGAGTAATTTTTGCATTACTTTTATGTAACTAGAGGGCCCAGTGTGAATTTTTAAAATCAAGAGAAATCTCCAGTACAGGAAACTACCAGAATCCAGAATGTTAATACTTTCACTAAATCATTAAAATCCCTTTCCACTGGGTGCCTACAGCAGCCTAAGCAACTAGAACAAGGCTTAGAATAAAAAATGAATTATCTCTTCCCTTTTCCTTTCCAGCAATGTCTTCTCTCTTAAGTTTAGTCCTCACTCTAATGACCATTAGGAAACTCACATTCTATTATGTTGAAAACTGAACCAATTTCCCACCTCACCACCACCCATCCTTTTCTTTCTTCTGAATTCACATCTTGGTTAATGCACCAGAATTTACACAGGGGTCCCAAGTCAAAATTTTGTCAAAGAACTTTAACTCTTTTCTGTCCCTCCCTCCACAAATTTCATCAGCACCCATGCTCTGCCATTTTGCCTTCCTTAATTGTAGTGTCTGGCTGATGGATGTCAACAAGGCTTTGTTGAATGCCTGTTCTTAAAAATTTGCACTCTCAGTTTCATTGCCGTGGCCTTTAATCTCTCACCTAAACTGCTGAAATAATTTTCCTATCCTGGGACTTTCATTTCTCCAATATCCTGTCAAATTGATTCCTCACTTCAAGCCCATTCAGTCTTCAAAGTCTTCAATATCCTATCATTACCTGCAGAGTAAATGGAAATCCACTAGCATCGGAAAGAGTGTAGGAAACATCATCCCAAAATATGGCTCCTTGTTATAAAGATTATTTTAGTTAAAGACCCTTAGAAAGCAACAGACTGTAACAGCCCAACAGGTTCTTCTTGCCCACTGCCCAGAAAAGTCAATGCACTGAGAGCAGCAGGTTTTGCAGCAAATAAGGAGTTTAATAATTGCAAGTCCAGCTAAGCAAAAGGACAGGAGACATTTCTCAAGTCTGCCTCCTAGGAAACTCAGAGGCTAGGGTTTTAAAGATGATTTGGCAGGTAGAGGGCTAGGGAATTAATGCTGCTGATAAGACAAGATGAAATAATATAACTATCTAAATTGTCTTTGTGCTAAGTCAGTTTGTGGATGAAAGTTCCTGGGTGGGAGTCAGTTTCTTGGTCTGATTCACAGGTCTGACTAGAATCATTTGGTTGCCATAATGCAAAAGTTTGAAAAATATCTCAAAGACCAGTCTTAGGTTTTGACAATACTGGTGTTACTGGAAAGGGGTCCTGATCCAGACACCAAGAGAGGATCTTGGATCTCATGCAAGGAAGAATTCAGGGTGAGTCCATAAAGTTAATGCAAGTATATTAAGAAAGTAAAGGAATACAAGAATGGCTACTCCATTGGCAGAGCAGCTGCTTGGGTTGCTCGATCAAGGATACTTATTATCACTTCTCAATTATATGATAAACAAGGGTGAATTATTCACGAGTTTTCTGTGACAGAGGTAGGCAATTCCTAGAACTGGGGCTTTCTCCCCATTTTAGACCATATTTGGTAACTTCCTGATGTTGCCATGGCTTTTGTAGACTGTCATGGCACTGGTAGGAGTGTCTTTTAGCATGCTAATGCATTATAGCTATCATACAATGAGCAGTGAGGATGACCAGAGGTCACTCTTGTCTTCTCCAAATTCTGGAGAGATTTGGTAGAGAGAAACAAGTATACTCCAAATTTTGTTC